GAATAACTCACATAGGGAATCTTCAGGTTCCTTGACTTCCAAGCAGGACTAAATGAAACTGTAAATGACAGAGAAGTGGGACTGCTGATCTTAATTCATTGCTTGAACACACTGCATTTTCTGAAGGTCATGTAGGTAGTTCCTGATTGGTGTTCAACAATACATCAGTTAATTCTAAACCAGAAGTCGAAATGAATTAGTGGACTTCTTTCTCTTACATAGGGGATAATAGAAAATTAGAGATCAGGAAATCTGAGTTTTAATTCCAACCCTGTTAGCTTTCCATTTTTATGATTTTATGACTACATATGGGCAGTAGCAAACTTAGTGCAACGGCCACCAGAAGCAGATCATTCTAACACCAATAGCAGAAAATAATGCTTACAAGTACCCTAAAATAAAACAAATTTTAACGTTGACCCTTTGGTTACAGTCAAATATAACAATACTTCATGTAAATAACTGTCAAGTAACAAGTAAACTTTAATTAAAACTAAAATAACTGCTAAAGAACTATGACAACTAAGTTGTAACTCATATAATATTTTACTGACTCATTTTCTAGTTTTAAAATAATTAACAATGAAAAGAATAGACTGAATGTTAAAGTTAGATTAAATCCAATTAAAGTTTACCCATGAGCTAAATTTTCACTTTTCAAACAAAAAAATACAATTGTTTCTCTACTTAAAATTTTATACAAAACTACATAATATCCAAATTGAAGTAACTAAAATTAATTTACTTTGTCACTACAATCACTGTGTTATTCTTTTTACTGACTCTACTCTTTTTTTTTTTTTTTTTTTGAGAGATTTTCACTGTAGGGCGCGTGCACTTGCCAGACAGACAGAGGGAGACATAGAGACAGAAAGCGAGAAATCACCCCCCAGGGGGGATGGTCACGCCGCAATCCCTTCTCCTCCATTCTCCTCTCAGGATCTTGGGCACGCACGCACACGCGCCCGGCGTGAGTTTTAAGCCACCGGGTCCGGGACACGAACCGCGGTCGACTACGTGGGAGTCCAGCGACATAGCCATTACGCTAACTGCTGGTTCCCCTGACTCTACTCTTGAAATGCAGGAATAGATAAGGATTAAAGACACAAAGTACACTCAAACTCCAAAGATTCTTCATCCCAGGAATTTACTCCCCAATGAATCCATGTTTCACATACACACACAGAAAAACAGAAATATTAGGGGTAACAACACTAAACATTCTTTATATGATCAATCCAGAAAAAAAGGAGTAAAGAAAAATAAAAAACTCTAATTTGAAGCTTATATGTGATTTATTAAAATTCAAATAGTAATTACAAGAATATTTTAGAACTTAGATAAAAAAACAATTTTTTTTTTCAGAGAGGGGTATTTTATCACCAACCTCATAATGATAATAAGTAGAATTCCCCTTTCTTCCACTCCAGCATAATCCCCAACAGAGAAAAACTACAACCAGCTTCGATTATTAGGTTACTTTATGTGCAACTCTGTACATTTTCTACCTAGTGGGATGGATAGACTATGTATAGCCTCTGGGAACTGGTCAATGTTGAGACTGGCTTGGGAAGTCCATAGGCATGTTCAGAGCTTCTCTCTAAGGCATGAATACCAGTTATCAGAGAGTTCTTACAGATGTTGGCTAGGTTCAGAAGTCTCCCCGAAAAGGTTCTCCTGTATCCCTTATACCTCCCCTGGTAAGTTGAACTTGAGATATCCAATTATACACACTTTCCATGGACCTAGCAGGTTCTCAAAATAAGCTCAAAGTCACAGGATTTTCTAGAAGTAGAACATGTATATGAGGATGGTCCAACGGGCACATAAACCAATTTAAAGATTCAGGGATTTGACCTAGGCTAGGGGTCAATGCAGAGGGCTTTAAGATTAGGCTTATGAGGGGCAAGCTAAGGCACTGGAATCTCACATGGCCAACCACAATTTGAGTCCCAGACCTGGCAGCTTGAAAACCACGCTGGGCACATGTGTGTGCATGTCCAAAATCCTTACAGGAGAATGGAGGACAAGGGATTGCAGCAAGTTGACCCCTCTAGGGAGGTGATTTCTCACTTTCCCTCTCTTTGTCTCTCTCCAGCAAGTACATGTGCCCTATGGCAAAAATCTAAAAAAGAATTTCAAGAGTAAATCTTTCAGAATTCTATGACTGAGTCTTCCAGTTTCTGTCTTCCAGATTGTTCTAAAATAAAAGACTGATTAATGCATACTAATGGCCAATGGAGAAATCACATGTGGGAATCTATGAAAACAGACAGAAGCGTACATAAAACCGCCGACGTGGGTTTGATATTATTTCTTATGTTTTAAGCCTTCTGATATTTGTCATTAGATAAAGGCTAAAGCCAGGGCAGGCAAGCAGTATGGCAGTTAAGGTGCTAGACTCCCACAGGGCCAACCATGGTTTCAGTCCTTGGTCTGGTGGCTTGCTTTCTCACTTTATGTCTCTCTCTCTCGTCAAATTAAAAATTAATAATAATGAGCAAAAAAAGTGAATAAAATAATTCTTTAAAAAAAGATAACACCACTACTACTACATTGCTAATTACTATTCATAAAATGCTAATTTTTAGTATTTATTATATCCAGGCACTATTCTAAGTATTTTTTTCTTCATTTAAATTAGTCCTAGGGAAAAAACCCTATGAAGTTGATACTGATACTATCTACTACAGAACACCAACATACAAATTCTGTGGTAACTATTCTTCTTTACATTTTATTTTTTATTTTTGCACTCCACTAACTCAGGACCCATCTGAGAATGTACACCATAAACCAATCACATAAGAAGCTGCTCTTTGCCATAGGTCAGCTTCCCTCAGCTAACAGACTCCAATCAGAGAATACATGAACTCTTCTGTCCCTACTAGCATCAAAGAAAAATTGCACAAGGCAGAATTAAACAAGGAAGGTACACGTCAGTCAGGATAACAGCATTATGGGAGAGAGATTAAATTCAAGTCCTCTGAAGCAAAAAGTGGGAGAGTTATAACTAAAATAATCTCGTGAAAAAGCACTAGAGAGTCCTAGGGTAGATTTTGGTCAATGTGATTAGGCTGAGCTTGATAACGGACACTATCAGAATCAGGGCTCCCACTCTCCCATGAAGACTGGGAGTTAGAGGCCCCAGTCCTTCTTTTGTCTTACATTTCAGAGAGATGGCTCTGCTCCTAGGGCCCAAAGGAAGACATTCCTGGATTGTAAAATTGGCAAGACACCTGAAGATTTATATCTCACAGGGCAGGAAAAAAAAAAAAATAGGTATAATTGCAAGGGAGGCCTGGGGCCCAGATTGGAAAAAGCCTATCTTAAATTTACTCCAGTGAGGGAATTTAAAGTCACCTTGGTCCCACTAAACTTTCCCATCTCCCTGCCTGCCTATTCCCTGCCAAGCTTGATGTGGGCTGACTCCCTTCCTACACCAAGCTCTGAGCTCAGGGCCTCTGCTCTACTTTTGTGAACATGAACAGAGCAATCTCCCCAAAGCATTCCTACTCGTTTTTAACTTTAAAAATCTGAGTATGCCTTTAAAGACAACCGAGTCTCACATTCTGTTGTTGACTCTTTGTGGCACAGTGCCTAAGAACGGATCGCAACACCAATCTGGACTGTTCCCTTTCTTATCTTCATCCAGAGAAGTAAACTGACTAAGATTTGCCCTCCCTAATTAAAGTCAAAGAGCAAAGTACTGGCCACAGTTACAGTGAAGTCAGGGTGCTCCAGAGTCACAGCCTTTTGTTTCTTATCTGAATCAGTTGATTCAAATTCAGGCTCCACCTTTTCCCCTCCTCCTCACAGGTGGCCAACAGGTCCTGACTCAGCCTGCTGAGGTGTTGCAACTGGGCTCTCTTAACTGCCCTTCTTCCCTTAAGCAGTTTTTGAGAATGTATTATTTCACATTCTTAAATAATGAAACAATTACATTTCTGAAATAGTTTGAAATTCAATAATCAACTAAAGGCTCATTAAGCAAAAACTTTAATAAGACTCTTTAAAAGAAGGTATTACACAACCTGAGACCAGCAGATGGTGCAATGGTTACTCTGCTGGACTCCCACATAGTTGACAATGGTTCAAGTCCCCAACCTGGCGGCTCAAAACTCATGCTGGGCATGTGTGCCTGCATGCCCAAAATCCCAAGAGAGGAAAATGGAGGAAAAGGGATTGTGGTGTGGTCATCCTCTCCCCCCGAGGGAGGGTGGTATTACACAACCTGAGACCAGCAGATGGTGCAATGGTTACTCTGCTGGACTCCCACATAGTTGACAATGGTTCAAGTCCCCAACCTGGCGGCTCAAAACTCATGCTGGGCATGTGTGCCTGCATGCCCAAAATCCCAAGAGAGGAAAATGGAGGAAAAGGGATTGTGGTGTGGTCATCCTCTCCCCCCAAGGGAGGGTATTTTTTGCTTTCTGTCTGTCTCTCCATTATGCCCACATGCCCTATAGCAAAAATCTCTCTCAAAAAATAAAAATATATATATATGTAAAATGCAGCTTTTTAGAAACTTCTTTGCCATTTTGCAATGCATACTATATTTCACTTTAATCTCTAAATGTTTCCATAATTCCACAAACTATTATTTTTAAGGCATTGTTAATACTCATTTTAAACATTGTAGTTTTTGTAAGTGACAAGGTAGGATTCAAACCTAAATATAGGGTATTATGTAAATAACTCTCATACTTGAAAGTTAGGGACCTTGCCAAAATGTGAATTACCATTCAGTAGATTTTGAAATTAGGCCTAAAAGTTTGCATTTCTAAAAATCTTCTTAGAGATGTCTCTGATGCTGGTTTGGACCAACAATTGAGCGGCATCAGTTCATATAAAGAAAAGCTACTCAGGAAATATTAGAAGTTACACTAAGACTATTTTCATATGATTTATGCTTAGCAAAGCACATGTTTATATGTGTGCATATACACATAAGTAGAATAAAATAAAACCATACTGGAAATATATCAAATAAATGGGGGTTCATGGTGAATCTTTGCTTTTATTCCACTCTTCTCTTTCCACACAAAAAATAATATTGCCTCAAAATTTTCTGCGGTGAGCACAAGTTTTTCTTTTAATTAAAAGATTCCTTTTTTTTTCTTCCTTTCTTCTTCTTCTTTTTTTTTTTTCTTAAAGCAAAGAGCTACATTGAATTTTATCACCAAGCAGTGGTAACAAGAATAAGAGCAGCAAGTCAAGTATAACACATCTCAAAGGTGACGAAGGTTGTGAACAAGAGTTTTAAGACAAGTCAGCACTTGCCTGATCTATGTGGTTATGTGACATTTGTGACATTTGTCTTACGGTCACTCGAGTGGCTAGGTAACTTCTGGAAGTCTTTGAGGTGACCCATCCACCTGGTATAATTCCGGATGATGTTTGTTTGTTTCCATTGAGGTAGAGGAAAGATCAAAGGAGCTTGTTTCACATTGGACGCACTCCCAGGACATTTGTAAGTAAGAAAGACTCCTCAGGCTCTCCACAGGTTTTGGTTCTGCTTGGATCATGAACACCTATGAAGCAAATTTAACAGTACTTCAACTTCATCTTTTTTTTTTTTTATGTCAGTGAGACATCTGTTGAAAGGAATCTATAAACATATTGTAGGTGGCTAACTGGGAAACTGGATAAGCACTTTAAAAATAATACCACACTTATTATTATTATTTTGGAGAGGTTTTTGCTATAGGGCGCATGCGCTCGCCAGAAAGACAGAGAGAGATAGAGAGATGGAAAGTGAGAAATCACCCCCCGGGGGGGAATGGCCACACCACAATCCCTTCTCCTCCATTGTCTTCTCAGGATCTTGGGCACGCACACGTGCCTGGCGTGCATTTAAGCCACCGGGTCCGAGACTGAACCACAGACAGCTACATGGGAGTCCAGCGACACAGCCATTATGCCTACTGCTGGTCCCTATTTTTTTCTTTTTAATTGCTAGAGGAGTCTGTGCTCACCACAGAGTGGCTGAGAAACAGAAGGAGAGAAAGAGAGAGAACCCTTTAATGGGGGCGAGAACAATGCAGTCCATTCTCCTCCCTTCTTTCATCCTCTCAGATTGGGAGACACATGCATACACATGGTGTGTTTTTTGAGCTGCTAGGGCTGGGATTTGAGCTGCAGTCAGCTATAGGGCATTTGGCTTTCTTCACCACTAGGCTGAGGGCTGACTCAATATTTCACTTAAAGAACCTAAAATGAACTGAAATATATTTGGATTAAAGGAATTAAGCTAACTCAAATGAATGCACTTTTGACAAAAAAAGAGATAAAATGAAAACTGTGCCTATTCTACTTTTCTGGGATATTTTTAGGACAGGTCCTCAAGAAATTATTCTAAATGCCTGCATGCAAGAACTCACTATTCTGTGAAAGGTTTTCCAAGACTCTGAACAGTGCACCTTAGTTCTCTGCTTTAGCATGAAACCTTACATAAGATGCAGAGGCAATTTCTAAGGAATTTAAGAAATGTACGAATACACTAAATTTTAGGAAAAGGTAGCAATAATTCCTCTCAGGATTGCAGAAGAGTCTTAGAAAAAATCATTGGTTTAGCTTTCATTCAGTTTGTTGTGTTATATGTTTTCGGTCCTTTGTATTAAATCAAAGACAGAAGCCTGGATGAGAAATGACCTAAACAAGAATGATCACACCAATAATAACTAACTTTGAACATTATTTGTATGCCAGGTGGTGTTTATTATTATTATTTTGGAGAGGTTTTTGCTATAGGGCGCATGCGCTCGCCAGAAAGACAGAGAGAGATAGAGAGATGGAAAGTGAGAAATCACCCCCCGGAGGAGAATGGCCACACCACAATCCCTTCTCCTCCATTGTCTTCTCAGGATCTTGGGCACGCACACGTGCCTGGCGTGAATTTAAGCCACCGGGTCCGAGACTGAACCACAGACAGCTACATGGGAGTCCAGCGACACAGCCATTATGCCTACTGCTGGTCCCTATTTTTTTCTTTTTAATTGCTAGAGGAGTCTGTGCTCACCACAGAGTGGCTGAGAAACAGAAGGAGAGAAAGAGAGAGAACCCTTTAATGGGGGCGAGAACAATGCAGTCCATTCTCCTCCCTTCTTTCATCCTCTCAGATTGGGAGACACATGCATACACATGGTGTGTTTTTTGAGCTGCTAGGGCTGGGATTTGAGCTGCAGTCAGCTATAGGGCATTTGGCTTTCTTCACCACTAGGCTGAGGGCTGACTCAATATTTCACTTAAAGAACCTAAAATGAACTGAAATATATTTGGATTAAAGGAATTAAGCTAACTCAAATGAATGCACTTTTGACAAAAAAAGAGATAAAATGAAAACTGTGCCTATTCTACTTTTCTGGGATATTTTTAGGACAGGTCCTCAAGAAATTATTCTAAATGCCTGCATGCAAGAACTCACTATTCTGTGAAAGGTTTTCCAAGACTCTGAACAGTGCACCTTAGTTCTCTGCTTTAGCATGAAACCTTACATAAGATGCAGAGGCAATTTCTAAGGAATTTAAGAAATGTACGAATACACTAAATTTTAGGAAAAGGTAGCAATAATTCCTCTCAGGATTGCAGAAGAGTCTTAGAAAAAATCATTGGTTTAGCTTTCATTCAGTTTGTTGTGTTATATGTTTTCGGTCCTTTGTATTAAATCAAAGACAGAAGCCTGGATGAGAAATGACCTAAACAAGAATGATCACACCAATAATAACTAACTTTGAACATTATTTGTATGCCAGGTGGTGTCCTAAGTATTTTCACTTAACTTAATCCTAGACAAAATATACGAGGTTCGTATTATGTATCAGCACATAGAGATTAGGCACCTTGCCCCAGGTCACACAGTTACTAAGAGGTGGGGCCAGTGGTGAACCCAGGATGCTAGACTCCAGACCTTGCCTCCACAAAAGACAAACGAATGGGGCTACCATCTTTGGTCAGAGTAAGAGGCTTTTCTTTCCTCTATCCAATGCGCAGTCACCTGGGACATGTGATGACTCAACAGAATTAGTAAGCACCGGTCTGAAATTTATCTGCCAAGGTAACCTCTCACATAAGAGCCACCAAGAAGTTGCAGAGGGACCAGCGGTTAGCGTAATGGCTATGTCGCACATAGTCGACCGCGGTTTGCGTCCCGGACCCGGTGGCTTAAACTCACGCCGGGAACATGTGCGTGTGTGCCCAAGATCCCGAGAGGAGAATGGAGGAGAAGGGATTGCGGCGTGACCATCCCCCCTGGGGGGTGATTTCTCACTTTCTGTCTCTCTGTCTGTCTGGCAAGCGCACGTGCCCCATAGCAAAAACCTCTCCAAAAAAAAAAATAATAAAAAAAATAAAGAGAAAGAACTCATCATAAAGGGCTAACGTTGTTTCCTATCCACCAAGCATCTTTTTTTTAGAATTACTTATTTCATTTCATTTATTATTATTTTTAATTCACCAGAGAGAGACAGAGAGAAAGAGAGGGAAAGTGAGAAAGCAAGCCACCAGGTCTGGGACTCAAACTGTAGTTGGTCATGTGGGAATCCACCAAACCACGTGCTAGTCTCATCAAACAGTTATGAACATGGAATTCCTCTCTTAGTTGAGGGTTTTGGAGACCTGAAAAGTTCCTGATGATTCTCTAGCTAAGAGGCATTGCAGGCTTCAGGGACATCATGATAATTCTAGCACTTCCTATTAAACATTAAGTTAGAAAATTGAGATGTCCTCAGTCATTACTAGACCCCAGAAATAAGTAACCTCTAAGGTCATTCGCAAACCTTTAGCAGGGTGATGACCACATTCTTTGTCCATTTAGTTAGTTGATGCAATTACTGCTGTGTGACCTGCCCAAGGTATGTGACTAGAGGCCTAGGTTGGCTCATCCAAAGTAAAAACAAAGTCATAACTTACCTATCTTGCTTGCCAGGAGGCAAAAGGGACCAGATGATCTCTTAAGAGCATTTCAAGTTTTAAACTGAAAACAAGAAGCAGAGGGAGAGAACACTGGAGTAGAAGGCGCTGCTCAACCATTTAGTCCTCAAAATACTGAGTCCCACTGTTGATTCTCGCAGCACCCAAATACCCAAATATTCTTGGGACGATCAAGCAGCTTACCTTTACGGGACAAGCATTTATCCTCAGGTTTCCAAATCAGTCCAGCTACTAAACAATTAATAAGATGGTGTTTATAAAAAGAAATAATTAAAATTTAAAAAGTGAGTTGTTTGAATGACACCAGGCGATTTTTTCAACATCAGGAGAGATGTAGAATCAATCCATTCTTGCCTACAAATCCTACTAATAAAGAACTATGGAAGACGTTCATTTTTATGTACTATGTATCCTTGGGTTAGAAGATTTATATGCAGTATTTTGACATTAAATTACCAATTAAAGGCATTTTTACTGGACTAAGTTAGATATTCTTTGGGTTACAGCCCTTTTAAATAGCATGTGACCTTCCAAGTTCAGTCTTCTGTTCTCCACTCCTTTTTGCTCTTTTTCTTCCTAACAAGGACAAGAAGTGAGTAACAAGAAAAACTTCGTTTATGTGATGCTCTGGTTTTATTTTCTCATTTCTTTTTCTTTCCCCTGGCTTTTACAACAAGCCTCTCTCCTCACCCACTCCCACCCTCTTTGCAGAGAGCTGACTACCAACTTGACTTCCGATTTTAGATTCTAAAGGAAAGCGGAGAGACAGAAAGGTGAACCGAGGGCTACCGCAAAACGTGAATTAACAACAGGCTTTCAAAGCCCCTGCAGTCTGCCAATTTGACAATATCTTTTCTCTCCTTCTGAATGTTTTAGGTCCCTGGATCAGCACAGTACTTAAGTCACAAAAGAGGTATTACGTTGCTTACAGTTTTTCAGTGTCTTGGGTACCGCCTTCCTCCCTGAAGCACTGCGCCAGCCTCTCAAAAGGTTCGTTCTCTTGGTTAATTGCAGATTGGGGTTCCGGAATAACATTTTCTTCCAAGGATCGTCGTTCATCCAACACGCAGGAACATTCCTCGGGCCCCTGCTGGTTTAATCGCCCTAGAGAATCAGGTCCTTGGAGTTGGTGAACCCATCCAGTCCGCGGCCAGGACTTGGGGAGCCTCTCTGTCCTCGGAAATTCCGGGGTTCAACAGGAGTCCCGGCGCCCCACCATCTGCCTTACTCCGGATGAGTGCGAAAAGTGACTGCCGTCATGGAGCGCTCCTCCGTCCTCGTGGTCATGCGACCCTTAGTCCACGCGGTCCACAGCACTTCCTGTGTCACCTGATAATCCACGACGCGCACGAGTACGGATTTCGGGGGGGCTGCGGGGTCCGGCGGCGGGTTTCCAGAGGAAGCGGCCATACGCCTGCCAGAAATCCGCTTTTTCCGTTGAAAGAGAGCAGAAGGGCAGTCGAGTTCCTGATCGTGGTCATCTCCGCCCGCCTGAGGGAAGGTCTCCTCCATGGCCACCTCTTCTGGTGCAGAGGCCCCGTGAGTCCCCAGCCACCTCTCCGGGTGCAGAAGGAAAAGCACTTTCTCTCTGACCCACGACTCATAGGCCACATTCCCGCCAGCCCGCGATCCGACGGCCCCACCTGCCCACTGTGCCTCGTGGGCGCCGTCCTGGTTTCCGCTCGCCTGAGCCGCCGAGGGATCAGGGACTCCCTGAGGCAGAGGCGCCCCAAGGCTCTCCTCGCGTGGAGAGGTCCCAACGCGCCCCAGGGTGCGAGGGCAGTCCGTGGGATTCGCAGCTCCCTGGGGTCCTGCCGTCCCCATCCTGGCGCGAGGGTCATTCACCGTTCGTTTTCTCACCGGTTTAAGCAAGCAGGACGCTCCCGTTGAGCTCCGGAGTGCGGGACTGGGAGTCCCGGGCGCGGCCTCCGCGGAGGTTCGGACTCCCAACGCGCCGGAGCTGGAGGCGGGCGCAGCCTCTGGCCTGCTGGGCGCCAAGCCCCGCCTCCTCCCGCTCCCGGCAGGGACCACTCGCCGCCTCCAGCCGTTCCAAGTCTGCAAGGCTGGCTTCAGCCCGCTGCTCTCTTCCGCTTCCTAGCCACACCCCCAGCCCTGTTTGCGTTGCCGTGTCTGATTCCGTACCCTGTTACTTCCCAGCTCTATCCTAGTTTCCCATCCTTCCTTAGTTTGGCACAAAAGACTCCCTAACCCTGCGGCCCCTATCTCCATGCCCCAAACAAGTATGTTGACCTTCATGGACGCTCCTCCACGGGAAGGAACAAGGAAGTTGGTTTCTTATTTTTCGAGTGATCTAATCTAACAAAATTCTTCTGTATAGGTTTCATGTCTGCTCCAGATCACCCCCACCGTGCTGCCAAGATAATCGAATGCAGATCAAAGGGGTCGACTGGAAAAGCCCTGGAGAAAAGTGTTTGGTTGCTTGTCCTTTTTCCTTTGGAATGCCAGAATATGTAGAAGATGGCTCAAACCTTTATTTATTTTGGTTATGCTCAATGTTTATCTCAGGAATGGACTTAATACTGTAGATTTAAAACTAACTATAAGAGGGACCAGCAGTTAGCGTAATGGCTATGTGGCTAGACTCCTATGTAGTCCACCGGGGTTCGCGTCCTGGACCTGGTGGCTTAAAACTCATGCCGTGTGTGTGTGCCCAAGATCCCCAGAGGAGAAGGGATTGCGGTATGACCATCCCCCCTAGGGGGTGATTTCTCGTTTTCTGTCTCTCTGTCTCTGTCTGGTGAGCGCACGTGCCCTATGGCAAAAACAAACAAACAAACAAACAAAAAAAACTATAAGAGCCAGCCGTGGCTTGGTGCTTAAGGGTGGTGGATCCCACATGGCTGACTACACGGTTGAAGATCTTGACCTGGAGGCTTGAAAAACGAACTTAAAAGGTGCAGAGGTTTAGGGACAGTAGAGTGACTAAGAATACATTTTCTAGTTCAGCATATTGGCTAGTATTTGTATTTCTATATCTGGTTCTAGATCCCAACTCTAAGGCTCTCTAGGGATACTCTAGACCTTCACAGATTAGTTGGCCATTGGTGCTTTTGGCAACAGAATTCACAATTCAGACTGTCCTCTTTCAGCAAAGATTCTAAAGCCCATTTACTCTTATTAGATCTGTTTGTAAATAAATGTGTCCCGATAATGCTTTGTGTCTTTAGAGAGAAATGCGCTGGACATGTTATGACAGGTTATGCTCACTCACACATAGTTTTATCAAGATAGGTCAATGGGGGTTCTCACCTATGGCTGTACGTGAAGCTCAGCTCTCACTTGCTACCAGATGAGGTGGGGGAAGAATGTATGTAAGATGGTTTTATAAATCACCTCTGAAATGACTAATGTCTGAGGAGAATTAAGGACCACTTAGCTATTGGTTGTTAGAGACCCATCCATGTGTATAAGTATGTCATTGCTGCTAAGTAAATGCAAGAATTTCTGCAACTAGGAAGGTGCAGTCAGATTGGATAGACAAAACAAATGTACATTAAATACCAAAGTCTCCAATTTGTAAATGAGATTGAACTACTTCAATAATTTTCAAATGATTGTATCTTAAAAATCGCCTAGCAAAGTTTTGTTTTGTTTTGTTAATGATGATTAACAAAAAAAAAAAAAAAACTGTTATCTGGCTCACTCTAGGAGATTTTTATCTCAATTGGCCTGGAGTGGAGTTTAGGTCATTGGCATTTAAAAACATATCCCAGATGCTTCTAACAAGCTACCAAGTTTGAACACTAGATTTGATTAACTTTAAGACTATGACACTAAATAAGTTTAAAAATTTAAGGATAAAATTATGTTAAGGAGTTTAATTTAGGAAAAAAAAAGATTTTTAAAAAGTAAAAGAAAGGAAAGGGGTGAGAGCTAAAGTAGTTGAGAAAGCTCCATGGAAAAAAAATGAAATTCTGCCTTTAGGGGTTTCGGTACTTTAGCTGGAAGCTACAGAAACTAACTGCTCAATGTTGAATTTTGTCTCCCCTAAATTTATAGTTTGAAATTCTGACTCCCAATGTGACTATATCAGGAGATAGGTTCTTTAGGAGGTAATTATGGTTAAACCAAATCATGCAAGTAATGCCTTTAATCCAAAAAGACAGTGGCCTTAGAAGATGAGAAAGAGAGCTATGATCCTTCTTTCTCTTTCTCTTTCTCTCTGCCATGTGAGGCCTACCAAGAAGGAAACCATTTGCAAGCCAGGAAGAGAGCCCTCACCAGAACTTGGCCTTGCTGGCTGACTCTTACCTCAGAATTCCAGCCTCCAAGTCTGTGAGAAAATAAATTTTGGTTAAGTCACCCAGTCTATGGTATTTTATTATGGTAGCCAAAGCTGACTGATATACCAACTCAAGTTCACTTAAGGAAAACAGACTTTATCATAAAGTCATTAAGAGCTCACGGATTTGTTGGGAAGTAGGGAGTACCAGACTTCAAACTGGATAAAAGCAAAATCTTTTGCAGAGGAATAGCAAGTTGGTACCACAGAAGCAGTCTCATAGCAGATTCCATTGTTAGATAGAATGAATTCCAACTCTCTCACTTGCCCTTGAATCATTTACTCAAGAATCAAAATCCCACTCAGAAGCAGTCTACTGAAGAAAAGATATAGTCAATGAAGCCCTTGGCTTCTATGATGGAGAAACAATCCGCTAGGCAACAAACAGTACAAGCTACTGTTATTCAATTTTTTAAAATTTTGTCAGAGAGTGCAGGCACTTTCCAGAGAGAGATGGAGAGAGAGAGAGAGAAAGAAAGAAAACGAAAAAGCACCCTCTATGGGGAACATTCATGCTGTGATCCTTTTGTCTCTATTTCTTTTGGGGGGATTTTGGGCATGTACACACATGTGCCTGGCATGTTTCTTCATGTTGCTGGGTCCAGGACTTGAACTGCACAGTTGGCCATGTGGGATCCAGTTACCTTAACCATCATCCATGGAATAGGCCTGTTTAAGCTGTTATAACAGAATTTGGATACAGAAGTGACAAATAGGGTATTCTGGATGAGGCAATACTATGAACTATGGTGCAATGGAAAATATGGAGACACACATGTGACTAGGACAATATTTTCTTTGGTATTGCTCTTCTCACAAGTTGAAAATACTCCCCTTGATTTTATCCATGGGAAAAGTTAACATCACCCCACTGATGTTGACTTTGGCCATGTGACTCACTGCAGCTTATGGAATATAAGCAGCTTTGACATTGGATGCATCTGAGCAGAAGCATGTAGTATTGTCACAAGGTTTTCTTTGGGCATATCCCAGATCAAGGCTGCCATCTTGGCAGTGATCCCAAAATGAAGACAACATGTGGTATGAAGCTGAGTAGAATCCAGCAGAGTAGCAGCAGCTGATGTATAATCTGAGCACAAAATATAGTTTCATTTTCATAAACCAATGAAATTTGGGGATTGTTTCTTACCACAGGCTAACCTAGTAAAATAATGCTCCTGTTCAATTTGGTGGTCTCAACTGGGCTGGACTGAGGTGTATCTCATGCTGGGTAAAGTCTCTTCACAATCTAAATGATGTATAGCGATTTAAATATGAATAATAAAAATATATATGTAAAAATTGTTTAAAAAACCTTTCTCTAAGACTTCCTCTACTTATCTTCATCTGGTTCCATCTCTACTGTATTTCTTTCAACATGAACTGAGTAAACCTCTATTCTCTTAAAAATTTTTTTTCTACTTGACTTTTCTTCTGCATGTTCTAAATCCAAAATGTCTAAAATTAGTTAATTGTTTATTCTATTAAATTTGCTTCCTCTTTCTTTCAAAGATTAACATGACTGGCAAGTCTACTTTCTTGCCTTCCTCTCAGCAGCTGTTTCTACTCAACATACCTAAGGCAGCATTGTAAATCCTACTTCCTTCATAACTTTTTCCATTCTATCCCTTCCTCATTAATCTCCATAGCTACAAAAATAAGACCTGATTCTTAGGCATAGTATGAGAGATCCTTATAACCACACCCAAACCAATCACTGCAGACAGTTTGACTGAATATCAAAAAGAGGAAACGAATAGCCTAGATGAACATGAAGTTCAAGTTTGAGAGTGGTATGAGGTTATTCTACATAAATAAAATCCAGTCTTATAATGGATAGATCTTGAGAACTACTACCCTTTTAAGAGAGATTTTAATCATTTTTGTTATTATTTTTATAACTAAGATTCTCAGGTCTTGGAGAGCTGAGATTATGCAAAGAAAACAAGGTGAGACAAAGAATCAGGAGACCTGTGTGAACCTCACTACCCTGAGCAGGACCTTATTACCCTGGGCAGGACCTTATTACCTTGGGCAGGACCTCATTACCCTGGGCAAGTCTCCTGATGTCTCTAAACATGTGCTCTCATCTACAAGTTATAAATGATACCAGCCCTGCTTGTTTCTGAGGGTTCTTATGGAGTTTAAATGACACAATTCTTCTGGTAACCTGTTATAAACTATTAAGTCTACAGATTTTTTTCTTTTTAAATTTGCCAGAAAGCATGTGCATTGAGAGAAAGTGAGAGTTGATCACTGGGATCCAGCGAGGGATCCAACATAAGGCATGGTCTTCTCCATCTCTCCCTCTTTTTTGTTTTTAAAGAATTATTTTTTAATTATTTATCTAATTTCATGTATTACTAATATTGTTATCATTTTTAATTTGACCAGAGAGATAGAGAGAGAGAAAGTGAGAAATCAAATCACTGGGTCTCGGACTCAAACCACAGTTAGCCATGTGGGAGTCCAGCACCTTTAACCACCACACCACTTCCTGGCTCTAAGAATTATTTATGTATTGAATTCCATTTATTATTATGATGATGATTATTACTGTTATTATTTCAATTTGACCAGAGAAAAGAGAGAGAAATGGAAAACAAAAAAGCAATCCACCAGGTCTAAGACCAGTCGGCCATGTGGGAATCCTGCGCCTTTAACTATCATGCCATCTGCTGGCCCCATCTCTCCCTCCTTTCATGATTTTGAGCCCACACATGTGGGCTGGCTCTCAAGCCACTGGGTTCAGGACTCAACCCATGCAATGGCCATGTGGGATCCAACCACTTCAATCATCATGCTATGGGCCAGCCCATGCTATAAGATATTTTAAAATTTAATGTAATTGTTCTCCAAAACTGAGAATCCAAAGTGTAGTGTTTGATGAGATCCTCAGGGGAAGATGCAAAAGCGAAAGGCTTAAGCTGAGAAATGAGGACCAGACACATTATCTCAGTATAAATGAGAAAATGCTAGTAATTATAAACTTAAGGAAGAGTGGAGTGTGGCAATTTTGTAAACATCAAGCAGCTTAGTCCCTGGTCTAAGATAAAGTAAAAAATGAAGTAAATTTTTAAAAAGTTTATTTCTTTCTTGTGAATGAAAGAGTTGAGAAGCACCCAAAAAGGTTTTCCCATGCTGCTGTCCTTCTTCCAGACTTCCAGAATCAGGGTCTTGGGTGTGCCTGGCATGTTCGACCTGGGATCCAAAGCCTGGTTTTCCACATGGCTCTAGTATCACAAAGCAGTGCCCGTGCCACCACAAATGAACCTTGAAATAACTTTTTTTTTTGATTGCCAGAGGGCATGTAAGCTCACCAGAGACAGAGACAGGGGTGGGGTGGAGAGTACCTCATAGTGGGACATAGTTATGTCACAATCCCTTTGTCTCCATTTCTTCATCCTATTGGGATTTGGGGCATGCACGCTCACATGCCCGGCATGTTTTTCAAGCTGCTGGAGCTGGGATTCAAACTGATCAGTCATGTGGGATTTGAGCACCTACTAAACATTAAGCAATGTGGCCAATGCCTGAAGTAACTTTCTGAAACATGGATTTTGGTTTAAATTTTGAGTGATCAGTACATGTGTTCCTGGAAGAAAATAGAAAAGGTTGGACTTGAGACTGTAGTCTATGCTAACTTGGTAGAATAAAGTACATATATAAATATATATTTATATAAACATATAATGAAACTTCTAAATCTAAACATTTTTACTCTATAGAGAGGTGGAATCTCTGAAATGACATTGGCAAGACTTTAAAAATATGAGATTAAAGGACGAAGAATACTGTTTGCTAGTTAACTGTAAGTGATGACTCATATAAGACTCTGAGTAGTAGCTGCTTAAATGAGATTTTAGGATCATAATTCTGTGTCAGCTACCTGCATTATTCAAGATTTTGAAGTATATTCGTCATCATTTTCTCCACTAGAGTTCAAGAGTTAAGACTGGTCTCTCTGACTGAGTATGAATAAGCAACTTACTAAGCAGGAAATTGCTTCACTAGTAATAGAGTCAGCTATTCATGGTAATAAACAACCAATGTTCACTAGCCCATACCAATCTTGAGCATAAACAAAAGCTGATCTGTTCAACAGCTCCATGTGCTCTATTCAAGAAATCACTTAATCTTTGGCTCTGTATAAATTAATATGTATTAAATATTTCATGAAAAATAGTCACTTGGATTACTAAAATAAATGTTACAAATCCTGACTAGGTTATAATAAAAAATGTTAAGGGTATGAGGTAAGTTTTCTTTCCATTACATTATTATATAATCAACGTACTCGAGATCAGGTTAGGATTTTATTTTATTTTATTTTATTTTAATTCACCAGAGAGCTTGTGCACTTGCCAGAGAAACACCAAGAGAGAAAGGGAAAGTGAGAGAGGAATCTATGGGGAATAGTCCAACCGCAACCCCTTCTCTTCCATCTCTTCCTCCTTTCAGAATTTTTGGGCATGAGCGCACACAGTCCTGGCATATATTTTTCCTTCCTTCCTTCCTTCCTTCCTTCCTTCCTTCCTTCCTTCCTTCCTTCCTTCCTTTCTTGCTTTCTCCTTTCCTTCCTTCCTTCTTCCTTTTATCCTTCCTTCCTTTCTTTTCTCTCTCTCTCTCTCTTTTTTCTTTTCTTCTTTTTTTTCTTTCTTTCTTTGGAGATATTTTTGCTATAGGGCTTGTACTTGCCAGAAAGACAGAGGCAGAGAAGCAGAAAGTGAGAATCACCCTCCATGGGGATGATGCTGCTGCAATCCCTTCTCCTCCATTCTCCTCTTGTGATTCTGGGCACGCATGCACATGTGCTCAGCATGAGTTTCAAGTCACTGAGTCCAGGACTTGAACCACATTTGACCATGTAGGAGTCTAGCACCTTGTTTAGTAAACACCTATCAGCCCTTCTGGCATAATTTTCAAGCCTCTGTGTTTGGGACTTAAACTGTGCAGTGGGTTACGTGGGATCCAGCTGTCCTATAGACCAGGCCACAGGCTGGCCCTCAATAATATTTCACATCCATAAAGATCTCATTCCCCAAATATGCAGCCCCATTTCAAGGTTTATGAATGTGCCACGTTATAGCAACACAGTCATGTGGGTGGAAAATATTGTCTGTTGTTCAGCAAGTTTGAAAACAGGTTGATCTGGAATGTCCATGAGCTCAAAGAAACTGTTAGTAATAATCCCTCTTTATCTCTAGTATATACTTCGTAATTCACCCCTCAAGGGCAAAATGGCACAGTAAGTTGAACTGATCATTAGTCAACTCCTGTCTCTATTTCTTTTTGTGCTCAAGGACAGTCTTATGCATTTCTTATTTTCAATACCATAATTTCATTAAGAAAGTCATAAGTTTTAGGTCTCCTGCAGTTTATTACTCCTGACAGCTATCTTTTCCTCTGACCATACTTTGCAACTCTTTAACCGTTCCTCCACACTTTCTCCTTTCTCTCTCTTCTTTATTTTTCGTCCTTCTTTCTGACTTTCTAATGTGACATAGTACATCATTTAAGAGCGTGAATGATGGAGATAAACTTACTAGATTTAATTCCTAGCTCTGCTATACAGTCGCAGGAAACTTCACTCTTCTTGCCAGTTTCACCATGTGAAAAGTCAGAGTAAGAACAGAAGCAATCTTATAGAAGGAGTTAATCCACACTGAGTCTGCAGAACAGTTCCTGCCCCTTAGACAACGCCATTTCCCTGAGAGTGAAGGCGGGGGTTATTGTTTCTTTGGTGTGAACTGCAATGTAACCTCACTGCTGTGTCCCCGATACCTAGAACAGTATCTAGCATCACTGGTGAATCAACCAAGTTGGCCCTTTTTCTCTATCTTGATTGCATTTATTGTACTATTCCTTCTACTCCTTGGAGCTCTGGCTACTCTTTCGTTCTTCTTGTCCACATCTGCATTCTTTCCCTTGGGTTTCCATCATCAGTTATGGACACTCTTGTCTCCCAAGTCTGGGTTTAAGGTTTTTGAGTAGGGTAAACATTGTAAGTGGACTAGGTCCTAATAATTATTGCTTATGGGCTTATCAGTGAAACTATAAAAAAAAATTGTACTCAAGAAAAAGTGAAAATATTTTAAAAATAATGTTTTTTTTTTAAACTTGTGATGACTTCTGTTAGTCCTTTGTACACAGTTTGAGCTGCCTGCTAATCTGTCACTTTACCAATAGTTTTATTTTTATTTAAAACTAAAACAGTTAAAAAATGCTATTATACACAGTTATGTGACCTTCATCTGGATTCATTAGTTATTAATATTTATCACTTTCGATCTCTGTCTCCATTAACCCATAAAACTCCCAGATATATAGGGACATTACCAGGGACCATTTGAAATTAAGTTACATATATCACACTTTACTACTAAATAATAATGCAGAATGCATTTAAAACAATAAATTCGTATGTAACTACTTTATCCCTATCACACCTAAAAAGCTTAATACTAATTCAGAAATATTTAATATAGAATTTATATTTCTAGTGACCTGCCGATGGTGTGATGATTACATTGCTGGACTCCCATGTAGTTGACTGCAGTTTGAGTCCTGGATCCAGTGGATTAAATCCACACCAGGCACATGTGCATGTGTGCCCAAAATCCTGAGAGGAGAATCGAGGAGAAGGGATTGCAGCATGGCCATCCCCTCTGGGGGGGATGAGTTCTTGCTTTCTGTCTCTCTGGCAAACTCACATACATGTGATGAGTAAAATCTCTCTCTCAAAAAAAAAAAAAAAGAAAGAAAAAGAAAAAGAAAAATGATTTTACCTATTCATTTCACATATGAGTTTTAAAATAAACTTGTCTATCCCCAGAAGGACAAAAACAAGAAATGAAAATTAACCTTGTGCTTTGTTCTCCTAGAACCAATATCTTTAGCATACTGTTTTTCCTATTCTAGAACAAGAAGTCATATCATGCTCAATGATACATTTTAAAAGAAATATCACTTTCCTACTTTTGGCTATAAAACTGAAGAGTAAGGCAAAGCAGAAGTATTTCAGGTTTTTTATTTTTAAGAGAGATTTTTGCTATAGGGAGTGTACACTTGCAAGAGAGACAGAGACAGAAAATGAGAAATCACCCCTGGGAGATGGCCATATCACAATCCCTTCTCCTCCATTCTCCTCTCCGGATCTTGGACATGCACGCACACATGCCAAGCATGAGTTTTAAGCCGCCAGGTCAGGTACTGGAATTGTGTTAGACTATGTGGGAGTCCAGCGATGTAACCATTATGCCATGTATTGGTCCTAAAAGTGCTTCAGTCTAAATCTTGGATATCTTTAAATAAATATGTGATAATCAATTATAATGACCTCATTAATAACTTGACCATATATGATTGGACTTCAGTCATCACTATTCAAAAAACTCAAGTTTCCTATCTACAAATCTTGTTAGAAATTTAATAGTTACTAGGACCAGCAGTTAGTGTAATGGCTATGTCGCTGGACTCCCATATAGTCAACCGCGGTTCGAGTCCTGGACCCGGTGGCCACAATTCACACCAGACGCGTGTGTGCATGCATGCCCAAGATCACTAGAGGAGAATGGAGGAGAAGGGATTGTGGCATGGCCATCCCCCCTGGGGGGTTATTTCTCGCTTTCTGTCCCTCTGTCTCTCTCTGTCTGGCGAGCACACGCGCCCTATAGCAACAACCTCTTAAAAAAAAAAAGAAACTTAATAGTTATTTAAAAATTGGAATTCAACTCACATTCATAAACCAAAATAAATTTCACAGATATTTAATTAAAAGCAAAATTTCAGGACCTGCACACAGCACAGCAGTTAAGCTCAGTGCATAGAAAGTTGAGTCCCACCCTGGCGGGTTGAAAAATATGCCAGGCACATGATCCAAATCCAGACTGGATGAAATGATGAAGGAAAAAGTTTTGTAGGGTGGCCACGCTCTATTGGGATGGGCTTTTTTCATCTCAGACCTGGTGACTGGGTAAACACGTGGGGCAAGTATGCATGCATGCCCAAAATCCTGAGAGGAGAATGGAAGAGGTGGTGTGGCCATCCCCCTGGGGTGTGCTTTCTCACTTTCCCTCTCACTTTCTTTCTGGTGAGGACACATGACCTCTCACAATAAATAGGATAAAACAAATGATTAATGTTGTCGGAAATCAAAGTTGCATACATTTAAAATTTTTTTAGATTATTTTTATTTAACTTTATTATGATTATTTTCCAGTTTGATCAGAGAGAGACAGAGAAAGTGAGAAAGCAAGTCACTAGGTCCGGGACTTGAACCATTGTCGGCCATATAGGAGTCCAGCACCTTTAACCACCACAACACCTGCCAGCCCCCAAATTGCATAATTTTAATAAAAAGAAGTTCTCCCCCATCAAATTAGCAAAGTGTTTTAATTTATTGCTTACAATGTAAGCAAATTGTCTCAGTTATGTGACAGGGAGTTCAAATGGGATAAATTACCATAATTATTTGAGACAAGTGTGTCATATTACATATTGAAATTTTAAAATACTCATATTCTTTGATGCAGTAATTAAGCTTATCGATATCTACTGAAATCAACTAGACAAAAAAGTAGAAAAAAAAGAAACCCTCTAATTAACAACTATTGTAGAACAACTCACAGGCTCCCTGTGCTGGGAAATAATCCAGAACTAAAATCTGCCATCTAGTGTTCATTGCCAGAACTGCATAGTATTAAGGAAATAGCTAATAGTCCTAATACAAACAATACGCTTAACAGTGTCTAAAACCTAAAGCATATTTTGTCTTTAAAATACATAGATCTGGGACCAGCCAATGGTGTAGTGGTTAAGGCGGCTGGATCCTATATGGCTGATTTGAGTCTCATACCTGGTGATTGGGTAAATATGTGGGGCAAGTATGTATGCATGCCCCAAATCCTGAGAGGAGAATGGAGGTGAAGGGATTGTGGTGTGGCCATCCCCCTGGGGGTGCTTCCTCACTTTCCCTCTCACTCTCCCTGGTGAGCACACTCACCTCCTAGAAAACTGAAACAACAAACAGCAACAACAAAAACCTCCGAACAGGTCTATTAATAGAATAGAAAGTTGCACATAAACTAGTAAGAGGAACACCACACATTAGACATTCTTTTTGTGAGTTTTTGAATTATTTAAGGCAGGAATAAGTGGGTGTAACAACTTCCCTCAAGAAATGAATACCATCGGGACCAGCAGTTAGTGTAATGGCTATGTCGCTGGACTCCCACATAGTCTACCGCAGTTTGCGACCCGGACCCGGTGGCTTAAAACTCATGCCAGGCGTGTGTGCGTGCATGCCCAAGATCCCAAGGGAAGAATGGAGGAGAAGGGATTGTGGCGTGGCCATCCCCCTGGGGAGTGATTTCTCTCTTTCTGTCTCTCTGTCTGTCTGGCGAGTGCACACGCCCTATAGCAAAAAAAAAA